TTTTTTTTTTTTTTTTCTGAAGATACTGTGATCAGAACACACCAGTGACTAATGTTTATTCATCATTGTCATTTACTTTGCTCTATACCCACTGACTTAAGAGGCACAGGTTGACTTCATAGTAGTCTTGATGCCGGCTGTGTTGAAAAATGAGGAATAAAAGGAAAATCATGTAAACAAATAGCAAAGGAAAAACAAAGTATCTGACTTACCTGCAGAACACTTGCTTGAGTTTAACTTTCTTTTTTTTTTTTTTTTAGTAGTATAGGGGCAGAAACCCAGACCCCTTTTGTGCCAGACAAGCACTCTGCCTTTGAGCTATAGCCCCAGGCCTGCTTGAGTCTGTCTTCTAACTTGCTGCTCTTAATTAAGAAAGTTCCAGATTACTTGGAAACGTCAGGAACAACTACTGCAGCAGTGTTGTACCTACTATTTTGAAGAGTTCTCAGGTTTCCTGAAACCATGGACACCGCAGGGGTCTGTTAATCTCATTCCAGGCCCTTTTTCCTGCTCTTTTTGATAGCATTTTAAGCATAAGAACCTTTTGTTAACTAATAAAATTATTACAGTTGTAAATGTTTTTGCCATGTGGTATTGCCATGAATACTCAAAAGAATGGGACTTGCTTTAAAATATATTGGAAATTTTTTAAGAGACACAGGCTGAGAAGTTGGACTCTGATCCCTTTTGACCTCTGATTCTGTGGCAGAAGAGAAATGAGCCCTCATGTTACATTCTGTGTGACTAATGATGCCTTAGTATGTGTTTATCATGTTTACTTTTTCAGAATGCTTTCATAGGCATATTTTGTTATCAGCCCATACTTATTCTATAAATTAGGTAAAACAAATGTTATTGAGGTTACTTACATGAAGAAGAGTCAGACGTGTAAGCCAATTAGTTCAGCTGTCCAAGATCACAGAAATTATCATTATTCCATAACTATAACCAAGTATACTAACCCAAATCATGTCATTTGAACTACAGAACTTATCATAGTTTTCAAACCTTTCCTCATCTGCATTGGTGGTATAGCGGTGAGCATAGCTGCCTTCTAAGCCTTTTTTTCCATCAGCCTACTGATACTTCTAGAAGATTTAACAAAATGACAGGCAGTAGTCTAGAGCAGTGGCACTGTCTTGCCTATTAGCATGACCATTTAGAGTTAACCAAACAGGCCTGGAGATACTGCATGAAATAGCTAGAAAAGTTGCGAAGAATTATGCATTATCAAAAAACTAAATCCGGGGGCTGGTGAGATGGCTCAGTGGTCTAAAGCACCTACTTAGAACAAGCTTAGCAAAGCACAGGGACCGCGGTTCAATCCCCCAGCACCACATGCCAGCCAGCCCCACAGTATAATATCTGGAATTCTATCTATTATATCTTTTTTTTAATGTTTCAGCATTTTCCAGCTAAAAGGTTGCTATAATCCAGTGAACCTTTCTATTAAATAGATATTTCTTAGCTTCCTGCCAGGTTTAACTGCATAGCTA